CCATTGAGACGGCCCTGCCTCCAACGCGGCCGATACCGGCAGGATCACAAAGACCGGCACGCGAGCGACGCCTGTGACGGATCGGCGGTGCGACGGTGAGACGGTGAGTCGGCCCAGCCAGGCCCGACTTCAGAAGTAAGTCAAGGCAAACACATTACATTAAGTAAGACTAAGTAAGGTAAATGAGTAGTGCAGGTAAGTGTATAGTAAGTAAGCAAGCAAGTTAGTATACCGTAAAGTGAAGTATATAAAGGACGTTCCCGTTGTCCCCTTTCGTCAAACTGTCCTATCGTTGACTCTCCGCCAAACCATCGAAGCCACACCAACGACTCAATCGTTTTCTCATCCCAAAATGCCGCATTTCTCATTGATGTGCTACATGTTGGGAGTTTTGGACAGCTTGCCCAACGAGCGAAACCGCACAAAGTCGCCGTTGGGTTGGGAGTTTGTCCGTTTCAAAAGCTCAAGACTTAGCATCAAAAGCATTGCAATGCAAAAAGTGCTTCAAGACCAAAATAATTCCCAGACACTCCATGTGACTGCCATAGGACTGCCGAGAAACGGCCAGGGGTGGTGCCAGAGGGGTCTGGCTGTTTCTCGGCAGTCCGTCCTGGCAGTCCCATGGAGTGTTTGGGATTGGCATTTGCTTGAAACAGCCGTTTTTTATTGATCCCCAGACGCTCATGGGCCCTCATATGGAGGGGTCGGACCCTTATATGGAGGGGTCTGGGGTCTCAATTCCTTAGGTTTTGAAGGACCAAGGGCTGTTTGGAGCGTCTGGGTCATAAGGCAGGACGTTCGGAACGCACCGGCTAGGAAGACCGGACCGGTTTTTTTTTGGTGATTGACCCACGTGGAAAAAATGAGGGGTCAACCAACAGAGGTTAAGTGACCTGAACTAGGACCCTGCAGGGGTACCTATGGGATAGCCTATAGGGTCATTCAACCTCTGTTGGAATGTAGGCCATTTCTGTGGATCCGAACTTGAGCTCCTGAAGTTGACCACCCTAACCCAAACACTCCATGGGACTGGCCTACATATGCCGATCAATTGACCCCTCAAACCACCCCAACTGATCGGCATATATGGCATCCGGGCCCGGTTCGCAACACTATAGGCTTTGGGAGCCGGGTCCGGACCCCGACCCCGTGAAACGGTGGAGAAGGTCCCCAAACAAAGGAGAGCCCGGGCCCGGATGCTTAGGGCACAGAAAATGAACATCCCAAAGAAGTTGCACATAGAACTATAGAAGACTCCAACTTTCTTTTAAATAAGGTTTAGATAGAAACATATTAATTCACTCCACCCTTCTCCCAAATAAAGTTAACCATGGAACAGATATGAGCAGAATGGATGGTCGACCTACTCTGGTGAGTCTAGGGAGTGCCATGACGGCCCATGACCGGCATGGAATGGGGCTAGGCCTCCTCGCCCACCACTGATTTTGAGGGATCCAACTCTTGGGGTTCTGTAATTGCTTGGGGTGGGTGCCAGGGGGTCAGTCCCTTCCGAGTTGGGGGCCAGGCGCCCCACCCGGGATCCCTAAATCCCTTGCCGTCAATTTTGCCGCACAAACTTAGATCATAGCCAACCACTGCTGATGGAACAACAAGCCCACATGCTGCAACATGCTGCAACTGTTATTTTGAATATCTTGCACTTGCAGCTGGAAACCCAAACAAAACTAGAAACACATGGTTGCTCCAACATAGCAATTGAGATCCTTTACTCGGAAAAGATCTGTTTCTGGTTGGGACTGGGTTTTCCAGGTGTGACCACCTGAATGTCCTGGTGCCAAGGGGGGGCCACAGGACCAGGAGGCTATGATCAACTTGATTGAACTTCAATCTACTCTGAAGAATTCATCCGGAATCCTACTGTAAAGAGGTTGGAGGCCATGGCTAGTAGGTTGGAGGCCATCGCTATCAGGTTGGAAGCCATCGCTCTCAGGTTGGAGGCAATCACTATTAGGTTGCAGGCCATAGCTATTAGGTTGGAGACCATTGCTACTAGAAACAAACAAACAAACAAACAAACAAGAAAAGGAAGAAAGGTCTAATGCAGTTTCTGAATCTACTACTTGAAGAATTCATCCATATTCATCCCATGTCTCCAAATGAACTGCATCAAAACCATCAAAGTCAGAAGTCGGGGTGCGTCTCAAGTGATCTACCTTTACCTTGCCAAAACCAAAGCCACTTGCATGAATTGGGTTCACCTCCCATATCACCTTGCGCACTCTTGCCGCCCCACCTTCGGCAAGAGCACCCGCGCTGAGCGGCATTGCCGCTGCAGAGATGCTGCTAGAGCCTGGCATCCGATCCGAAGCTTCTCAAATTCGGCAGTGTCGAACACATCACCTAACCTGAGGTTCAGAGCGACTGTATCCCAAACCATCCCAAATCAAGCACCCTTGCAACTGCAGATCCTCCGGTTTGCCCCCGGTTTTGCTGGTCCAGTCCGACCCCTCAGTCTGCCCGGTTTTCTGTCCGGTCCTGAAAACCTTGTTGAGTAGTTACAGCGTGGTCTTTGACCATTGACCATTGACCAACCGTGGCTCACGGATGCTCAAACATGAACTGATCATGACCATGTGGACGAAGGAGTGTGTTCTCATGTTTTCTCGGCAATGACCAAATACCAGGGGTCACAAAGGGGTTGTGTTTGGTCCCTAAGTGAGTGGATAATGGGCCCCTAACCTCCAATAGGCACTCCTTTGTGACTCCTGGTCAGCAGTTTTTGCGACCTTGCGACAGATTTATAGATTTTACAGGGGAGTTCGATGCATCATTTTTTGCGAGTCTTGCTCTCTCGGTCCAAAAAGACCTCTCTATCCCAAACCCTCCATGGGACTGCCAATATATGCCGATCAATTGACCCCCCAAACCAAACCACCCCAATGTTGGCATACCTGAGAAGCTGCAAACCGAAAGCCAGCGCTTCCCTTTCTCGACAACTATGTGAGGCAAGGGTCCTGAGGTGTCTCTGTGACAAGGCTTTTGTTAAAACAGGCAGCTTTTCAAGCTAAATTCAAGGTGGCCTGAGACCAGGGTTTGCTGCCCTAAAAGACTCTGTTCAGGCCACCTTAAAAATGAAGGTCTGCGAAGCGAGAGCA